CTCCAGGCTGTGAGCTGTCAGCACAGAGCCTGACGTGGGGCTTGTACTTGGGACTGGTGAGATCATGACCTGAGCTGAAGTCGGATGCTCAACCGACTGAGCCACCCAGGTGCCCCAAGAGTGGTAGATTTCTATGGTTAGGTTTGTGTTTTGCACATGTACTTGAATGTTTAAAGGAGAAAGGGTAAATGGACAGAGCACAGTGGATGTTTGGTTACACAGCTCTCTGACCACACTTTACAAGAGATGCTGGACAGTCCCCCTGGGTTTCTGTGTTACAGTATCCTAGCATTTCACAGGAGCTATTGACTTAGGAATAAGCCAGTTGGGTTTAAGAAGGTGGGATTTAGACCGTGGACAGTAAAATGATTTTAAAATATAGTCGCAACTGAATAAATTCACAAAAATACAAGTAATAATAAAGGATGATTTGGGCCTCCTATTTCATAAAACACGTGACTGAGAGGTACTAACAGTGGGAGCATGTGTTTGCCCAATGCTGTTCATTTAAACCCTGCCTCAATTTTCATTAAGATTGAACTCTTGTACTCAAGTATTATGAAATAAATTTGTATGATGTTTTCTGAATCTTCAAGCTTTCTGCCTTACACTTCCAGGATTGAAGTGTGTATGTCTTTTGTGTGACTCTTCAAACTTTACCTGCCAAACTGAAGGAGCATGCTGGGCCTCGGTTATGCTAACCAATGGGAAAGAACAGGTGATCAAGTCCTGTGTCTCTCTCCCAGAGTTGAATGCTCAAGTCTTCTGTCATAGTTCCAACAATGTTACCAAAACTGAATGCTGCTTCACAGATTTTTGCAACAACATAACACTGCACCTTCCAAAAGGTAAGGCATTTATCTTTGTTCATCCCAAATGTAATTTTACTATCGGGAAATTAGAAGCCTGGTAGAAATCAAACTGTTGGATGTTTCTTTAAATAAGAAAATCTGTTTTACAGTTCCCTCCTTATTTGACTGGTAATATTCTCTAGAGCACAGCTGAGGTTGATTTTTTTTTTTAATTGCACAAGACTGTCAAAACACTGACAACAGCATAACAATTGTGACGTTTGTCCATGTGAGTTGTATTTTCAGAAGTGATTAATGGACCTAAAGTAAAATGTCCATTTGTATGGATTCTTGTAAAGGAAAGAAATTAAAATGTATACCAAGAAAAAAAGAGAAAAGAGAGCAAAACTAAAAATAGTAGATTGCTGACTTCTATGGAGACAAAATCTTTTTTCATGGGCACCTTCTGCGTATCTTCTTTGCCTGCCTGCCTGCCTGCACTCGAGAGCAAGCACTCATGAGCAAGAAGATGGAGGTAGAATGGAATGTAACTCTTCATTATTGTGCACATATATTCCTGCCTTTTCCCCAATTTCATGGTGTTTTCTCCTAATTTACAAGACAGAAAATCTGAATCTCGTCTTTTATCAGCAATGTGGAATCTGCAACTTTGGGGGATATTAAGGGGCAAGTCATTAAAACCACAAGCCAATTTATGACATGAAAATGTTCTGTAGTGGATTTTCTTTCATATTTATCAATTTGGTAATAATTCAGTACTTACTGATGTGTTTATATCTACACGCAGGTATATAGTCTTCCTTACAAAGCAACATGTTAAGGTACTGTTATGCAGCCTCAGGTGTTCCTGTATCACTATATCGATATTCTACTGTAGTATTTTTAACCCGTTTTTTTTTTTTTT